AGGGAGGGAGGGGTGAGGCTGTACCCAGAACCACCTGCGACAATGTTTTTTGTCCCATCAGGCACTGGGATCTCAACCCAGAATTCCAATGGGCGGGGGAGACTGTGGGAACTATGGGATAGCTATGGGATAGCTACCCACAGTGCAACGCTCCAGAAATCGACGCTAGCCCCGGTACATGGACGCACACCGCCGAATTAATGTGCTTAGTGTGGCCGCATACATTCGACTTTATACAATCTGTTTCCCAAATTCAAATTACATAAATTCGGATTAATCCCGTATTGTAGACATACCCTTAGAGAGGCGATTAAGAAAAAGCAGAAATCCTACAAAGAGTGGAAGATGTGCAAGGAAAAATACCTTATTGAGGTCAGATCATGGAGGGATAAAGTGAGAAAGGCCAAAAGCCATGTAGAGTTGGACCTTGCAAAGGGAATTAAAACCAACAGTAAAAGGCATATAAATAAGAAGAAAACAAAGAAAGAAGAAGTGGGACCGCTAAACACTGAGGATGGAGTGGAGGTTAAGGATAATTTAGGCATGGCCCAGTATCTAAAAGAATACTTTGCCTCAGTCTTTAATGAGGAGTTTAGGGATAATGGTAGGATGACAAATGGGAATGAGGATATGGAGGTAGATATTACCACATCTGAGGTAGAAGCTAAACTCGATCAGCTTAATGGGACTAAATCGGGGGGCCCAGATAATCTTCATCCAAGAATATTAAAGGAACTGGCACATGAAATTGCAAGCCCATTAGCAAGAATTTTTAATGAAACTGTAAACTCAGGGGTTGTACCGTATGACTGGAGAATTGCTAACATAGTTCCTATTTTTAATAAAGGGGAAAAAATTGATCCGGGTAACTATAGGCCTGTTAGTTTGTCATCTGTAGTATGCAAGGTCTTGAAAAATTTTTTGAAGGAGAAAGTAGTTAAGGACATTGAGGTTAATGGTAATTGGGACAAAGTACAACATGGTTTTACAAAAGGTAGATCGTGCCAAACCAACCTGATCTCCCTCTTTGAGAAGGTAACAGATGTTTTAGACAAAGGAAATGCAGTTTAAGCTCAGTACCAATGTGGACACAAGAACAAATGGATATAAACTGGCCATCAGGAAGTTTAGACTTGAAATTAGATGGAGGTTTCTAACCATCAGCGGAGTGAAGTTCTGGAATAGCCTTCCAAAGGTATCAATGGAGGCAAAAGACATATCTGGCTTCAAGACTAAGCTTGATAAGTTTATGGAGGGAATGGTATGATTGGATAGCCTAACTGTGGAAATTAATTGATCTTTGACTATTAGCGGTAAATATGCCCAATGGCCTGTGATGGGACACTAAATAGAGTGGGATCTGAGTTAATACTGAGAATTCTTTCCTGGGTGTCTGGCTGGTGAGTCTTGCCCACATGCTCAGGGTTTAACTGATCGCCATATTTGGGGTCGGGAAAGAATTTTCCTCCAGGACAGATTGGCAGAGGCCCTGGGGTTTTTCGCCTTCCTCTGCAATGTGGGGCACGGGTCACTTGCTGGAGGATTCTCTGCACCTTGAAGTCTTTAAACCACGAGCTGAGGACTTCAATAGCTCAGACATAGGTCCTGGGTTTGTTACAGGAGTGGGTGGGTGAGATTCTGTGGCCTGCGTTGTGCAGGAGGTCAGACTAGATGATCATCATGGTCCCTTCTGACCTTAAAGTCTATGAGTCTATAACACCCTGCCAACTATATCGTGCAGAAGCTGGAGTTCCCAGATGACTTGATTCTGACTGGCCAGCCGGAAAAGTTTGTTTGCCTTATTGGAAGTGGTGAGCATTGTATGCTTAGCGTGTGCATTCTGTTTTGGTGATTGTTAATAAATAGAGGTAAGGATATTATCATGTAATGCTCTTTCACTGGTAAAAGACCCCACAAACCCATAGAGTGTAAGGTTATACCCTGAGCCCTAGGAACGGAGTAAGGGTGGTGCCTAAATTAAGAGGGTTATGCCTTGAGCCCTAGGAACTGGGTAAAGTTGCGTGCCCCTAGAGTGTGCAGGTAACAGGGATAAAGTGAGAGATGCCAAAAGCCAAACAGAGTTGGACCTTATGAAGGGAATTAAAATCAACAGTAAAAAGTTCTATAGCCATATAAATAAAAAGAAAACAAGAAAAGAACTGAGACCACTAAGCACTGAGGATGGGGTGGAGATTAAAGATAATTTAGGCATGGCCCAACACCTAAACAAATACTTTGCCTCAGTTTTTAATTAGCCTAATGAAGAGCTTAGGGGTAGAGACAGGCTGGCTAATGGAACAAAGGATATGGAGGTAGAAATTACCCCATCTGAGGTGGAAGTGAAACTGAAACAGGTTAATGGGACTAAATTGGGTGGCCCAGATTAGCTCCGTCCAAGAATATTAAAGAAACTGGCACATGAAATTGCAAACCCAATAGCAAGGGTTTTTAATGAATCTGTAAACTCAGGGGTCAGGCCCTATGACTGGAGAATTGCTAATATAGTTCCTATTTTTAAGAAAAGGAAAAAAGTGATCCAGGAAACTACAGGCCTGTTGTTTGACCTCAATTGTATGCAAGATCTTTGAACAAATTTGAAAGAGAAAGTAGTTAAAGACATAGAGGGCTAACAGTAATTGGGATGAAGTACAATATGGTTTTACAAAAGGTAGATCATGCAAGACCAACCTGATCTCCTTCTTTAAGAAGATAACTGATATTTTAGATAAAGGAAACGCAGTAGATCTATTATATATATACACACACACACACACACTATAGGTTTTAAACAAACAATTTAATACTGGTACACAGTGATGATGATTGTGAAGCTTGGTTGAGGTGGAGGAGTCAGAGGGTGGGATATTTCCCAGGGAATGCCTTACTGCTAAATGATGAACTAGCAATTGGCTGAGCCCTCAAGGGTTAACTCTCACACTCTACAAGGCAGCAGGAATGGAGGGAGGGGAGACAGCATCATAGACAGAGACACACACCGTGGGTGTGAGAGAGATGCGCATTTCCCCTTTAAGTATGCTGACCCTATTCTTAAGTACACTGCTTTGTTAATTAGGCTTGGTCTACACTTACCCCCCAAGTCGAAGTAAGGTACGCAAATTCAGCTACGTGAATAACGTAGCTGAATTCGACATATCTTACTTCGAACTTAACGCGGTTCAGACGCGGTCCACACGCGGCAGGCAGGCTCCCCGTCGACTCCGCGGTACTCCTCTCGTTGAGCTGGAGTACCGCAGTCGACGGCGAGCACTTCCTGGTTCGATTTATCGCGTCCAGACCAGACGCGATAAATCGAACCCGGAACTTCGATCCCCAGCCGCCAAACTAGCGGCTGGGTGTAGACCAGCCCTTAGATCAACTTGCTAAGACCGCAGCTGCTGCCAGCAAGTTCCCTCCGTCCTGAGCCCTGTCGTGTGTCCCCACTGCTCTAAGGAAGGGGTAAGTGGGGTGCAGGAGCAGGGGGAGGGGGATACCCAGACATTAGCCCCCCTCTTCCTCCCCTTCCCCTCCCACCCCGCACAGCAAGCAGGAGTCTCGGGGAGCAGCTCCAAGGCAGAGGGCAGGAGCAGCACATGGCAGTGGGGGGAGGGACAGCTGAACTGCCGGCAATTGATAGCCTGCTAGGCAGCTGCTGCACAGGGAACTTAGGGGAGCGGGGAGCTGATAGGGGGATCTGATGGGGGGCTGCCAGTCCACCCTGGTTCCAAGCCCCATTCCAGCTACCTGCAATGGGCTGCTCTTCCTGCAAGCAATGGACAAAGCAAGCGGCTGCCAAACGACGTTAGAAGGGAGCATTGCACAACTTTAAACGAGCATGTTCCCTAATTGATCAGCAACGTAACAATGAAACAATGTTAACTGGGACGACTTTAAGTGAGGAGTTACTGTATCATACAAGAAGATCTGGATTACCTTGTAAACTGGAGTAATAGAAATGGGATGAAATTTAATAGTGCAAACTGCAAGGTCGTGCATTTAGGGATTAATAACAAGAATTTTTGCTATAAACTCAGGATTTATCAGTTGGACGTGACAAAGGAGGAGAAAGACCTCGGTGAATTGGTTGATCACAGGATGACTATCCGTCAGTGTGATGCAGCCATGAAAAAGGCTAATGCAGTTCTAGAATGCATCAGGCGAGGTATTTCCAGTAGAGACAGGGAAGTGTTAGTACCATTATACAAGACACTGGTGAGCCTGTATCTGGAATACTGTGTGCAATTCTGGTCTCCCATGTTAAAGAACGATGAGTTTAAACTGGAACAGTTTAAGGGAAGGGTTACTAGGATGATCAGAGGAATAGAAAACCTACCTCATGAGAGGAGACACAAGGAGCTTGGCTTGTTTATCTTAACCAAATGAAAGGTGAGGGTAGATATGACTGCTCTCTATAAATACATCAGAGGGATAAATACCAGGGAGGGAGAGGAATTATTTAAGTTAAACACCAATGTGGACACAAAAACAAATGAATATAAACTGACCATAACAAGTTTAGGCTTGAAATCAGATGAAGGTTTCTAACCGTCAGAGGAATGAAGATGGAACAGCCTTCCAAGGAGAGCAGTGGGGGCAAAAAATCTAATTAGCTTCAAGGCTGAGTTTGACAAGTTTATGGAGGTGATGGTATCCTGATACTGCCTACACTGGCATGTAGCCGATCTGTGACTGCTAGCAGCAAATATCTCCAACAGCCAGTGATGGGACACTAGATGGGGAGAGCTCTGATTTTACTAAAGAAAATTCTTTCCCTGGTGTCTGGCTGGTGGGTCTCATTGCCATATTTGGGGTAAGGAAGGAATTTTCTCCCAGGTCAGATTGGCAGAGCCCCTGGTGCATTTTCTTCTGCCTTTGCAGCATGGGGCATAGGTCACTTTACATGGCTGCTCCAAGCTGGCCTGACCCTCTGAGGTTCATTGAAATAGGCAAAGATGTTATTAACTTGGCCCTTCCCTAGTCAGGACACTTCTAGGATTAGTCACTGGTGTGGATTCTCTGATGTTTAGTGAGGCCTGAGCTATATCGGAATCTTTTCCCACATTTCATGCATTTATAGGGTCTCTCCCCCGTGTGTATTCTCTGATGTGCAATAAGGTCTGAGCTCTGACTGAAGCTTTTCCCACAACCAGCGCATTTGAAAGGTTTCTTTCCAGTGTGTATCCTCTGATGTCTATTAAAGGCTGACCTGTCACTATAGCTTTTCCTGCATTTGGGACATTTATAAGGTTTCTCTCCTGTACGTTTTCTCTGAATTGTAATAAGGGCTGAACTGTATTGGAAGCTTTTCCCACAGTTCAGGCATAGATAGGGTCTCTCTCCCGTGTGCAATCTCTGAGGTACTGTAAGGTCTGAGCTCTGATTGAAGCTTTTCCCACAATCACAGCATTTGAAGGGCTTTTCACCAGCATGTATCCTCTGATGTTTACTAAAGTTTGAGCTGTTACTGAAGCTTTTCCTGCACTCCGGGCATTTATAAGGTTTCTCTCCTGTGTGTTTTCTCTGATGTGTGATAAGGGTCGAGCTCCATCGGAACCTTTTCCCACAGGTTAGGCATTTATACGGTTTTTCTCCTGTGTGGATTCTCTGATGCATAACAAGTTGTGAGTGCCGAGCAAAGCTCATCCCACACTCAAAACATTTGTAGGGCTTCTCTCCTGTGTGGGTTCTCTGATGGTTAATGATGGTAGTGCTATGAGAGAAGCGTTTCCCACAGTCAGGGCATCCATAGGGTCTATCTCCCATGTGCTTTCTTTTATGTGAAATAAGGTGGGAGCTCCGACTGAAGCTTTTCTCACACTCAACACATCTATAGGGTTTTTCTCCCATGTGGGTTGTCTGCTGAGTAATATGGGCTGATCTCCCAGGGAAGCTTTTCCCACAGTCACCAAACATACTGGGTCTCTCTCGAATGGGGATTCTCTGCTGAGCAGTTTCTTTGATTTTTCCAACCCCCCTGCTCCGGTGAGATGATTCACCTTGTCCCTGCCCTGGCTGTTTTCCCTGTTGCCTCTGTGGCCTGGGTTGAGTCTTACACGTTTTTCCCATCCCTGGTCTCTGGGAAACATTCACCTTGGATCTTCCCAAACTATCCTGTGTGGTTCCATCTGCTCAAGACCTCCCTTCTGAGGATTGTCCTTCTCAGTTTCACTCACCATCCCATCACCTGCTGGGACAGAGAGATAATCCATTTCGGAGCTGCAGAAAAAAGGGGACATCAGAAAGGAGAAACAAACCAAACAACTACCCCCAAACCCTTACCCAGAGGAGAGAAAGAAGGTAACCAATTCTGCCTCCCCATCCCATCTGAATATAGATGAGGGAGTTTCTACATGGGCACACAGGATTGATGAAAATTCAGGAGTGGCATTTGCCATGAGGATGTAAAACACGGTTTCTGAGCCAGTTTTGCCAATTCCTTATCTCTGCGGGCATTTCTCAGTACAGTATCTCCCTTTCCTCGTCTCCCCGGAGATTGGGGACCCAGAGCTCTTCCCTTTGCTCCAGCCAGGAGATCACATCAGATTTGGAAATTGGAACTCTTACTTAGGAGTTGAGCAACATCAAGTTAGGGCCCAACATTCCGTTATCTCAATAAGCGGCCTGAGTTTCAAAAATGCTGAGCCTGCAACACTGGGGTTTGGTTCTGAGTGTCCAGAGCTGTTGATAAGCAGGCCACTTATTCAGGTGCCTGAATATGGATTTAGAAATGTACTTTTAGGGCCCTCTAATTAAAATCCTGGCCTTGGTCATTTTTTTTAAGGGGGTAGACCCTGCTCCTGACACCAGGAATAAATCTGTGAGACATTTTTAAACCTGGCCAGTAACAGAGATTTAATAAAGTAAATGAGACCACTCAGATGGCTAAAGACAAGCATGCATGTAAGAGTTTGCAAAAATCAGACTTTGCCTACTCTAATATAAATACATACCAACTTGTGTATTTATTGCACCAAACAAAAATTACCAAAGCAGAACACTTCACTGCACACACTTCTCCCCCACGAAAAGATGAGAGAACAAACAACATATGAAAAATGTTAGGCAGGTTACTTACTGCACTACTGAAAAGTGCTCATATACTATGGGGATGCAAATGGTAGAAGAACCCATACAGAATAGAATAGAAGTCAGTAAACAAAATCTATCAAATGGGGGGGAAATGTCTGTGCACAATGGAGAGTAATGTGACCCTCATAAATATATACAAATGTAAAGTTACCAACCTAAATCTTTATGTTACTGAATTAGTGCAAAAATTGATAACTTTTTTTTAAAATGGTAAAAGTGTCATTTCCCCCTGGTCAGGCCATTTATCAAAAGGAAGCTAAATGTTTGGATTTTTTTATTGTTGTTTTTCTTTTTAGTCACACTTTCAAAAACCAATTCCCTCTGGACGAAGACATACAGCCCTAAAGATGAACTTCGGCACTGCCAGACTGGCTCAGATCCAAGGTCCATCTAATGACTTTCAACACTTTATAAGCAACTGAAAAGATCCCTTTAGAATGAAATTGTGCAGCCAAAGCGCAGAATCAAAGCAGACTCTTTGGGGGATCCCCTGACACTGTCCCCAGAGTAGCACATTCCCCCAGCAGCACAGGGACTAGGCAGAGGCAGGAACTAGCTTTTCCTCTCCCAGCTCCTCACCGTGCCCCAAGAAAATCAATCTGCCCCGGGGTGCTGCAGGGAATGGGGCTGGGCAGGGCTGAGAGCCGGGACCTCCCTCCCCACTGATTGCTCCTGCTGCCCCTGCCAGTTTCTGCCCTGTCTCCCTCCTGCCCCCTCTCCCCTCGGGCTGGGAGACTCGGTCCCTGGCTCGGGGCGTTTGCTCTCCCGGAGCAGGCTCGGCTCCTGCAGGCGCTCAGGGGGGCAGAGCCCGGGGGGTGTCAGGGAGGGCAGCAGCTCTGGGACTCGCAGACCCCGCCCCGAGAGCAGAGCTGGGCGAGGAGGGGCCGGTGGTGCAGAAACAACAAGGAGTCTGGTGGCACCTTAAAGACTAACAGATTTATTTGGGCATAAGCTTTCGTGAGTAAAACCCCCACTTCTTCGGATGCAACAGTCACTTTCCTGCCCGGCCCCAGCCCCTTTCCCCCGGGTCTCGCCCCTCACCTGCAGGCTCCGGCTCAGGGGCTGGTGTCGCCAGAGCCCGGGGCTGCCCCAGGGGCTGGTTCCAGCCCCCGGAGAAAGTCCCCCTGGCTGGGCACAGAGGGGCGCTAGGGAAGGGCTCTCCCCGCACACACCCCGCTGGGGAGCAACAGCGACTCAGCCTCAGCCCCGCCTCCCGGCTCACAATGGAGGCGGCAGCAGCAGCGTGTGACCCAGGAAGTTCAGCCCCGGATCTGCTGAGAGACAGACCGAGAGCAGCCGCCTCCCTCCCTTAGCGATACCAACCCCCTCCAGCTGCACTACAGCTAGTGAACGCCTCTCTCAACAGCCCCCACCCCTGGGTTAATACCCGGGCACAGGGAGGCTCAGGTGAAGTGCCAGGAAGCTGCTCCCCATGGAAGTTGCGTTTGGCTGTTCACGAGCAGGAGGGGTGCGTGTGTATCGGAGGATGCTCAGTAACAGCTGCTGAAGCCGCGACCCTCCTGCGCTGCCCTTACTTGCCAGCACATTCTGCTTCCTGCTGCAGCAACAAGACCAAGAGGGGTGGTGGGCAGAGAGGGGAAATCGGAGGGGAGATATGGGCAGCTGCCCGAGCCCTGATCGGAGGAGGATAAAACAGGTGGCGGCAGGAAACGAAGAGAGGTTCGGGAACAGGATGGGTGATTCTTGGAAACACCCAGCTATAACTTGTAAGAATAAAAGAGGTATGATCCTGGGGTGCTTCATTCTGCGTGACATATGCTGCCGGGCTCCTGCTGCTAGTGTTCAAATCCCCTTGGGATTTCTACATATTCTAGAGGACAATTTCCTAACTCAAAAGTTGCTGCATCCCACCCAGGAAAATTCTATATTAGACCTCATCCTGGCAGATAAAGAAGAATTGATCACAGAAGTAAAAACCAGCGGTAGTTTGAATAAAAGTCATTGTTACTTGAGTACATGTGTTATATGCAAACAAATAAAATCCATACTTGGTGATTTTAAAAGGCCAGTTGCATAAAGCTGAAAATGATTTGAGCCAAATCAGCTTGGAAGAAGAATTTAAATAGAAAAATGTGAATGAGAATTGGACATTGTTTAAGAACACTTTAGTCAATGCCCAGAAGTTGACAATGCCACAATAGAAAAAGAAGGAACACTGGTAAAAAAACAACAACAACAACAACAACAAAAACCAAACAAACAAAAACCCCAACCAAACAAAAATAAATAAAAAAATAAAACAAAAAACCTGAATTAGAGGGGAAGTGAAGGCAGCTATATAAAATGAATCTATCAGTTGGGAGGTTCTGAGCAGGTAGAACCACACAGGACAGTTTGGGAAGATCCAAGGTGAATGTTTCCTGGAGACCAGAGATGGGAAAAACTTGTAAGGGTATCTCTACACTACGAAATTAGGTCAAAATTATAGAAGCCGGTTTTATAGATATCGGTTTTATACAGTCGATTGTGTGTGTCCCCACATAAAATGCTCTAAGTGCATTAAGTCGGCGGACCGCATCCACAGTACCGAGGCTAGCGTCGACTTACGGAGCGTTGCACTGTGGGTAGCTATCCCACAGTTCCCGCAGTCTCCGCCGCCCATTGGAATTCTGGGTTGAGATCCAAATGCCTGATGATGCAAAAACAGTGTCGCGGGGGGTTCTGGGTACATGTCGTCAGGCCCCTCCCGCCGTCAGAGCAACAGCAGACAATCGATTCGCGCCTTTTTACCTGGGTTACCTGTGCAGACAACATACCACGGCAAGCATGGAGCCCGCTCAGCTCAGCTCACCGTCACCATATGTCATCTGGGTGTCGGCAGACGTGGTACTGCATTGCTATACAGCAGCAGCTAATTGCCTTTTGGCAGTAGACGGTGCAGTATGACTGGTAGCCGTCATCGGCTATCTGGGTGCTGGCAGACGTGGGGCTGCATTGCTACACAGCAGCAGCTCCTTGCCTTTTGGCAGTGGATGGTGTATTACGATTGGTATCCGTCGTCATCGTACTCCTCAGTGAGTTCAATCAGAGGCACCCGGGAAAGTTCTTCAGCAGATTCCTCTAAGAAATACTGCACCAAACTTTCCACTCTGGGCATCTGATTCTTGACGATGATGGCTATCAGTCATAGTACATAATTTTCTGCCAAGCACCCAGAAGATGCCGATGGCTATCAGTCATGCTGCACCGTCTGCTGCCAGCTTAAGATGTAAAAAATAGATGGACCAGATTTGTTCTGTATTCATTTGCTTCCCCCTCGCTCCGTGAAATCAACGGCCTGCTAAACCCAGGGTTTTGAGTTCAATCTTTGGGGAGGACATTCTGTGTGACAGTTGTTTGTGTTTCTCCCTGATGCACAGCCACCTTTGTTGATTTTAATTCCCTGTACCTGTACGCCATGTCATCGGTCGCCCCTCCCTCCCTCCGTCAGTTTCGCGCCTTTTTTCAGCCCAGACGCCATAGCACTGGGATCATGGAGCCCGCTCAGATCACCGTGGCAATTATGAGCACTATGAACACCACGCGCATTGTCCTGGAGTATATGCAGAGCCAGGACATGCCAAAGCAAAACCAGGACCAGACGAGGAGGCGATTGCAGCGCGGCGACGAGAGTGATGAGGAAATTGACATGGACATAGACCTCTCACAAAGTACAGGCCCCAGCAATGTGCAAATCATGGTGTTACTAGGGCAGGTTCATGGCGTGGAACGCCGATTCTGGGCCCGGGAAACAAGCA